TTGGGTAATGTCTTTCTGTTGAGAGTCAGTAAACTGCTGTTTTCCTCACAAAATACTTCTGTCTGGTTGGTCACAATTTTGAATATATGCTCATATATGTGATCTTCAGGGCTGCCCTATGAGGCAGGTATAAGTTCACATTTTAATTTTCCATATGAAAGAGTCCCAGGCCTTAGATTGGCTTGTCCCTAAATCCTCTGGCCACAATGTGGCAGAGGCAGGACCAGAACCCAGGCCTTCGGGCTCCTAATAACTTTCATTTTCAATGTTGTTGATTGCCTTCGAGTTGAGGACCACTCGCAGCAACCCTATGAACAAAAGGCCTAAGGGTGAAGATTTTTACTTATATGTGATTTTAATGATATTGTTTGGTAATTTCCGCATCCTATTGGATCAACTGTTTTATAATGAGAATGCATTTGAATATCTTCCAGTCAGTTGGTCAGATCGCTGTCTTCCAAATTTCTTGGCACAGACTAGTGAACATTTCCCGTGGATTGCCAAAAACACAAACATCTTGGAGGAAGAGCAATCAAGGTCCTCTTTAGAGACGAGGACGGTGAAGCTTTGTCACACATTCCTTGGGGATATTGTCAGGAGAGACCAGTCCTTGGACAAAGACATGCTGGGAAAGATGGAGAGGGAGGAAAAGAGAGGAAGATCCTCAACAGGACAGATTGACACAGTGACTGTAACGATATGGCACAGGATCGGGCAAGGTTCAGAAATGTCATAACAACTAACACCAACAATGTTAGAAGAGCTCAGTTCATGGAAATGGACGTCATGCTTGGAAAAGTGGAGGGTCAATGAAAAAGAGGCTCACCCTAAATGATAGTTTTGTAGCTACCACAACTGGTCTAAACACAGTGACATACTATATCTTAGAAGCTGCAGTATGGTTTTTATTTCAGACATTTTAAATTTGTTCAGATCTTCAATAATGACAGTAATGTAAGAATCAGCAAATGATGTCACCACATAATGACTTATTCCTATATTATTGTCATGATTAGAGATAGGGTGCGCTCATGGAGAATGTGGGGGGAAGGTCATTTAAAAAAACACAAGCTGTTGCATTCTCTCTTAACAGTGTTCATTCCAAACCCACAGCTTCAGTGTCCAGTGGATTTTGTTTCACAGTGACCCTGAACTTGACTAGCTGTGTTGGTTAAACAATTGGGTGCTTAACCACTACACTCCAGGGTATGTTGTTGTCGTCTTTTTATAATCAGGTGGTTCAGAGATAAAAAATTAAATTTCAAAGATTTCTGACTTAACATTTTATTTTCTGAGGGAAGATGTTGGCCTGAGCCGGTTTGTTTCTTTCCCCCAAAATGGTAACCATTTTTAACATTGTGCGTTAAGCTCTGGACTCAGTCATTTAAAAAAAAATCAGCTTCGGAGAAGACTGATGAAAATGTGATTTTTCTCCTTGGTGTTATCTCAAGATGTCATCTTGTCCTGATGGTGAATGCAGGTGATCTCTTATAATTCTTGGGATGATCATGAGCTTTATGTAGTGACATGAAATAATATAAAACATTATCACAAGCAGTCCCACTATGTCTGTGCCCTTCACAGGAGCTTATGAGATTTGCTCTATGTCTTAGGACCACGTCAGGATGAATAAGTCGGAATACAGTTGCTGCTTTTAGGGTGAGCTTTTAGACTTTGTGTGTGCTTAGACTTTTGGTTGCCTGGTGAAACTTATGGAATGTTTCTCTTTGGAGATGTTTTGTAAATACAGAAAATATAATACAACTGATTTTTAAAAAATCAGTTAGGTTGAAATGTAACCATCTCATTGCTGCAAGTATGTTTTCTTGGCATATTAAATAGTAAGATTTATCAGAGACTACCAATCTACTGACTACCATTACTTCAGAATAGTGGTGAGTGTAATGGCACTGCAACCACTGCTGTGTGTGTGACAGTACTGGTGAAAAAAAAATCATAAAGCCCATTGTCAAGTCAATTCCTATTCCGCACAACCTTTCACTGAGTTTCTGAGGCTCTAAATCTTTATGGGAGGAGACTTCCCATCTTTTTCCTTCTGAGTATCTGGTGGATTCGAACTTCTGACCTTTCAGTTAGCTGTCCAATATGTAACACACGACACTACAAGACTGGTTTTTATTCTTAGTTGTTGTTTGCTGTAGAGTCGAGCCTTTTATCATCATTTCTCAAAGTTCATAGAGTTTCCAGAGGCATGTTGTTTAGAAGTGGATGCCACTCCTCCTTCCCAGCCTGTCTTAAACTGAGAGCTTCACCAAACACTGTC